CCGGCTGCAGCTGCAGCGCCGCTCGGCAGGGTGCGGGGGTCGCCGCCTGGCCTTGGTCAGCAGCAGCAGCAGAAGCAGCAGCAGCAGCAGCGCTCTGGGGAGGGGGGCTCGCTTCTTGGGGCGCACTCCGTGGCTTCCCCCTTCAGGGAGGGTCGTGGCTCCCCCCCAGACCCGGCGCGCTCAGCTCGCTCCAGCGGGACTTGCCGGGTGGGGAGGGGGCCTGCGCTGGGTCCACTCTTCCTGGGTGCGTTCTCGCTCCTGCTCCTCCTTCCTGTCCACACGGCGAGCGTGGACTCTGCCCCGGGAGCGGGGGGCTCAGTTCACCTGTTAAGTAAGGTTTCAGAAGAGATAACAAAGGAAGAAGAGGTTCTTTTCTTCCTTAGCAAAATTATATACGTTCAGCAACCAGCCCCGCTCCTTCCCTTGTCGGCTCTGCTATCTCCTCCTCAGGAACACATTTCACTTGTTTTTCCCTCAGAGTAGTAAAACTTTTTCCTTCCTTGAAGGCGTGGTGATGCTGGCTGCTGGCGTGTGCGGAGAGGGGAGACCGACTCCTGGTCTCCCCCTCTGGTCCTTTCGTTTCAAGTTTTGTTCTGTCCTAGGAAAACTTCTTGCGATGATGCATTTCTCTGAAGTTGCTATTGCCCGAGCTCTTGGTTGCCTCTGAAACAAGAGTCCTTTTTCATTCTCCTCGCAACAGTCACAGTCTGATGCGACATCTTTCCTTTTGGGCAGAAATGAGGAAACAAATATAACAAGGAAAAAAATTGAACAGGAAAAAAAAATGAGGTTGAAGTACTCTGTTACCTTGTTGCTGACGGTTGGGTTTGGTGTTTTATTTTTTTCCCAGCAGTTGTCTGGAGGAGGAGGAAGAAGAGTGCATTGGTGGAGGTGGAGGTGTATGTGTGCATATAGGGGATCCTTGGTACACAATCAACTCCAGTGGGCAAGTTGCACGGCTGGTAGAGTGCACTGACGCTGGTGGTGCTGGCGCTGGCCGTGCTGGAGAGGAGTTGTAGCGGGAGCTCAGCTCTGCGCCCTCTTTCGCGCTCTCTCTCCCTCTCTCACTTTCCCTCTCCCTCCCTCTTCCTCTCTTCCTCCCTCGCTCGCCAGCTCTCTCTCTGTTCTGGCAGTTCGCTTTCTGTCCCTCCCTCTCAGAGCGAGGACTGTCGAATGTTTACCCTCCGCCGAGAGCGCGCACCCACCACCACACTTTCCCAAATACAAGGAAGTCGAGCACAAGGGCTCCCGCTGATTGGCTACCCGCTGCGTGATTGGCAGGCTCGGAATGACTGGTTCAGGACGCGCGGCCCCCCTTCCGGCCGTTCCGATTGGTTGCTTTTTAATTTAGGCAAAGCGTCGTAGAAGCTGGAAATCTGTCGTCCCCCGTCCTCCCTCCCCCTCGCCACTTTCCCCTCCCTCCCCCTCCCCCTCTGCCCCTCCGCCACATCTTAACTCTTAGTGTCCGGCGGAGACGTTGGCGTTCCCTCGTCTGCTCTGGGCGTTCGCTATAGCTCTGGGAAGGGGGAAGAAAGGGAAGAGAAATGGAGGGCGGGACGAGAGAAGAGGAGGGGGAAAAGAGTCAGAAAGAAAATGAAGAGGGAAAAAATTCATGAAAAAATAGCAACCTACCCACCCCACCTAATACTGCGTTCTGTTGGCTCCCCACCCCATGTCAGATATTTGTAAAGCGCACGGCATGGATGCACCATTCACGCTAATACCTATAGACAGAGGTGTCCCCAGTGGTTTCAAAGTTTCCTCTTGCCTTCACCAGCCGGCCCTCATCTCTGTTTCGGCGGGGATGGGAATAGGGGACTTGCATCTCCAAAAGCTCGGGTGGTAGCCACGCTCCTTGGAAATCCGCCACCGCAACTTTCCGCAGTCGCTTCGCGCCGGCGGCAGCCCCCTTTGTTTAAGTTCTCGGATGCCATCATCTGGGAAACCTGCAGCCCAGGACCAGCGCGGTACCCGCGCGTGCGAGACGGACCTCTCCCTGCCGCTGCTCGCTCTCTCCTCCACCCCTTCTCTCCTCCCTTCCTCCCTCCCTCCGTCCTCCGGGATTTATTGCAAGTACCGTGCGTGCCCTTGCGAGTTTGGAGGGTGCTGGTCTTCGGAGCCACACGATGTATTTGAAAAGCAATCAGCCTGACCTTTCCCCGTAGATACATTGTAAGTGTATTTGACCCAAATGGCTTTAGGAATTCCTGTTCCAGCAGGAACCAGGCCAAAGAACGGCGATCCACTAGCCGCGCCCTCCACTGCTCCACTGCTGACATTGTGTGTGTGTGTGTATGCACATTTTAATTTCGGTGAGACTATTACTGGTGGGGTTTTGCTTGCTTGCTATTCTTAGGCATGGTTCTGCTTTTTTCTTTCTTTTCTGTCTCTTGAGGGTTTGCTTGGTGGTTGGGGCTGGCGGCGACAAACCCTTTCTTAGTCCCAGCCCAGCTGAAAGAGTTAAGCGGGACGGGAGGGGGAGTGCTCCGGGTAGGCGGGAGGTGGGGGGGGGGACGCGGCCAAGCGGAAACGCTGCACAGAGGAACCTCAGCGAACCAAGAAAAAAGAGAAAGTGGCAACGAAAACAAGGGCAAATTGAACCCTCCTGGGGGATTTCCAATGAACTAACCCAACTCGGACATTCAATAAATACATCGTTCCTAATGAGTGTGCGTGCACCCCGCACCCCCAGCTGTGGGTGCGCTATTTCGGCGACCGCTGCCCCCAGCCTGTGCTTGCAGCCGACAGTCCCGAGCCCCAGCGGCACCCGCCGACCAACGGTGCCCTGTACGTAGATGCCGAGCCGCGGGTTGGTTCGGATTAAAATGTGAACGGGCCTGCCCTTCTCTCCGGGAGAATGATTCTTCTGCCGAGGGTAGTTAGGTGAACTCAGTTAAATACTGAGCTCTCCAGACTAGGCGCAGCTACGCAGCCTTTTCGTGATCTCAAGATTAACAGTAGACGCGTAGAATTTATGTAGGATTTTGTCCAGCTCCTGCTTGCCGAGTTAAAGATACTGTGGTAGGTAGGATTTTAGCAAAGCCATTATTGCTTAGCTATAGATCTGAAAGGCAATGGCAAACAAACCCCGCACAGAACGGATTTTTCCCCCCGCGTCCCCTAAAGAATCCTTTTTATATTTATGTATGCATATACGTGTATATATATATGTATAAGATGGAACACAGATTTCATTGAATAAATCTGAGATCTCCAGGTGCAGACGTTTGAATAGTCGGTGCCAACACCCCGTGTTTTCCTTTCCTGCCGATTTTGCTTGGATCCGGCTCAAAAACCGAGAGAGTCTCGTGGTTTTGTTTACACTGAATGGGGAGGATAGGAACAGAGCCATGGGGCCGCCTTTCATTAATATACAGTGAGGATTTTGTCTAAATTACTGCTATGAATTTCACAGTACACGCTTTCAAAAGCAGTCTCAGGTGGCCTGATGAAACGTGATAGCGCCTCTGCAAACAGATCCACTTTCTTTCTTTTCAAGGAGGGTGTGCGCGCGCGCGTTTGGGAAGCCCCCCAAAACGCTGTGCTCCTTGATAACAGAAATATACTACTGTTCCGAGGTCTGTCCCTCCCCCCCTTCCTCTACTTAGTTTCCTAGTCGCTCCCCAGCCCCCCCCCCCCCAGCCCCACCCCATCCGCCCCCTCCTTTTGCGGAGTGTGATTGTTTTGTCTGGAAAAAAAAAAATCCAAAGTATATAACAAGGGGAGAACAGTTAGTGCTGATTTTCATTTGCATACATTTTCATATATTTTGGTGAAAATAATAGACTAGTGGAGAGCTGGGCTTAGAGGAGTCAGTGTAAAGGGAAGGCTAGGGATGCATCGATTCTGGGGAGTTGAGAATATGCCTTCCCCCCCCAGTCACCTTATTTAAAACCAAAAATAAAACGTCTTCTTTGCTTTTAAAATCTAACCCTGGAAGTTTGCTCGGTAAGTGTTTTTCATTTTCTTTCTTTGCTTTCTCTTTTTCTCCCCCTCCTTTCCGTTTTATTTACTTATATTCTCACAGGTTTGGGAGACTATTTTCATTGCTTGGGACAAGAGAGGTTTCACAGAGCAACTATTTAGAGGAAAAAAGGGAAAGTGTGTGTGGGCATGTGTGTGCGCGTGTGTGTGCGTGTGTGCGTGTGCGTGTGTGTGTGTGTGTGTGTGCGCGCGCGCGCGTGCGGTGAGGGTAGTAAAAAACAACAACAACAACAACAAAAACCCAACCGTGCTAAAATATTACATAAAAAGATGGACTCATTCCAAAGCTGCACACAACAAAGCAGTTCTTTGGTGGTAGCACTTTACTTTTGAGAGGGGGTGCCGGGGAAGTGCTGTTAATTTTAATTGTTGATTGGGGGGGGGAGCCATAGAAAAGAACCGATGATAAAGCAAGAAGGATTATAAATATTTCTTCTTTTGGATTTCCTGCCCCCCCCCCGAGAATTTAGGACTGCTGCTGCTGCTGGTGGTGGTGGGGGGGGGACTTCTTTCTGTAGCCAGTGGTGAAGCGGTGAAGTGTGTGTGCTTCCCTGGGGTTGGGGTGGGGGAACTCCTGCTGGGAGCAGGGGAATGGAGTGCTGAGGGTGGGCTTGGCAGGGTGAGGGCAAAGAGGTGGGGAAGAAGGAAGCGAGGGAAGAAGAGGCAGCAGGAAGTCGGGGCACCCCTGGTTAATGCTGTGTCTGGGGAGCAGGCGGTGAGTTACAGCCCCTGAGCTGGGTAGTGAAAGTCCATCATAAAGAAGGCGATCAATCAAAACTAACCAGGACATCCCAACATTTTATTCTCAAAGGAGCTTTAGCATCACGAACTCGATTTTACTTTCTTTTCCATTTTGACAGCTGCCTTGGCTCCCTTACCATTGTCCCTGGATTTTGTAAAATTTGAGGGTGCAGTTACTTGCTTGGGTGCAGTTAATTAAATAACTATGCTGGAGAAAATAGCTAGGCCCAGTCCAGGCCTGTGAGTACCTTACCTTAGTTAAATAGGCTGCAGAGGATTTTTAAAGTTTCTTGGTTTTGTTCTTTTAAAGGAGTAGCATCCAGAGTGATTTTTTTTTAGGGGGGGGGTGGGATGGTGTGGTGGTGGTGGAAATCAAATGTTAGAATTGTACTGCAGTTTATTACACAGAACACCTTGAAATTTAGAATTGGTAGTTTCTTTTGAAACCGTTGATGCCAAATCAATGAAATTATTTGTAAGGAGGGAGGAAGAGGTTTCAGTTGGGGAGGGGGGTAAGAAGTAAGAATCCCTAGTTTTCCACTCCTTGTTTACGTGCTTGGCAGCGTTGCTTTTGACGGGGTTAACTCTGTGTGCTCCATTGGACCAGATGCCACATAGAGCTGCTCCCTGAAGATCATTTGTTTCCTTGATGGGGAACATTTCTGAGCAGAGCATATTGGTTGCCATAGAGAAAGAAATAAAAGGAAGAACACTAGTCACATTAAGCTATATGTTTGTGCACTGGGCTTTAGATAAAAGGACCTTGGTTCAGCCAAAGAGAATGAGCCAAAGTGGAGATTTCTAGCACCACTAAAACTAGCTTTATTTTGTTTTGGACTTTTACAGTTGAAACATATAAGCTAATTTTATTGGTTGTTGTTAATTTTATATGACACGGTTTACTGAACAAAATAAACTTTGGAAGTGCTCAGGAGTAACACTATGGACGTGTCAGCAGGGGGCGCACTGACTCATCTTAGCAGGTACAGAGTAAAATGTAGTTGTTTCAAAAGCAAATCTGCTCTAAACTTGCCAAAGGAACAAACATCCCTGCCTTTCAATGCATATTCACAATGATGAGTGAATACGTTGCATAATGCAAGGTTTTTAAATATCAGGACATTGACCTCCTCATCCCCCACCCACCTAAGTCTGTGAAATGGCCCAGAAAGATATAGTTTGGAAAGTGTTCATCCATTTTTCTCCATGAAGTATGTGTAGGGATGGAAAATAGAATTGTGCTGTGAGAATAACATTTTAAAAAGTATTATTAAGGATTTGAAATAGGCTGCTTAAGAAACTACCTTTCAAGTTGTATTTTTTTGTGAAATAGAACAATGCATCCTAAGGTGTTATCTGTTAAATCCTGAACATTCTACAACCTGATACATGCATTGACTTCTAAATAAAAGTCATGTCCCTGGAGATATTAAGACTTCCAATATCTCTTTTACTCCATATGATATTTAATGGCTAGTTTAATTCTTGGTCTGCCCGTGGTTTTAAGAATGATTTAAAATGTATCCTTTTTGAAAGGCTTGGCAGGGAAAAGAAAAATGGTCAGCTGTTAGATGTAACTGTGCGTTGAAACTTTTAAGTACAGTATTAATCTATTTGAAGAAAGTTTTAAATAGAGCACACCATTTTCCACCCAGAGATTTATTAGATATTGCCAATGAAGACTGAACTTTACTGTACAGGATGAAAAAGATATGTGGAAAACTTCCTGAAATGGTGAAGGGCAAATCCTGACCAGTTCTGAGGAGTTAGTCAGTTTGTCACTAACAATTTTCCCAAAGAGATTTAGGGAGCGTGACTAAGAAAGGGAAGCCATGGAAGCCATGAGTGACTGGAAGTATGGCGCTGGCTTCCACAGCTCAGCAGTAGAACGCACCTGTGAATGTGTAACCGCGCCTGTTAGTAAGGGGCACGTTACGTGAAAGCTCTAATGTTCTCTCTGGAAGAGGGGGAAAAGA